ACATTGATCTAATTTGGTTTTAATTCATATTTATTTATTTTCTTTAACAAAAAAAAAAACAAATATTATTATTATTACTAATATTAATATTACATTAAAGACATTTAAATTGATGTGGAATTTTTTTCGTTGATATAAATAAAAATTCCCCGAATGAAAATTAATGTTCTCCTTATGAAATATAATTTGAAAAGAATTAAAGTTGAAAACTACTAATTGAAAGATGAAAGCTTCCATTAAGAAAATAAATAGTGTTTCTAGTTTGATAAAATATATTATACGGATAAATATATATGTTTTTTTTTTCTTTCTAGAAAATTTAAAATGATTCACATAATGATTTATTAATTAACGTGTTTGAAAGATTTCAATTAGAAAAAATAGAATATAAATTGTTTCTTTGAAATATAGATTTGATAGCGCGCGTGTACTACTTTGCGGGAAAAAAAATAGTTTTGATTAAACTAGTTTCTTAAATACTGTGTGTGCTACTTTATTAGCTGCCGGACAACTATTTTATTAGCTGATGCAACTTTTTAAATATAGTCACACTTCTATATATTTCAATATATAAAGTTTCTTATTTTGGCCCCAAGAAAATAGATTTTGGTTAATGAAATAGTAGAAATAAAATATAGTGTCAAATTAATAAAGTACTTGTGGCATATATATTTATATATTATGAAAGAAAACACATCTTGTGACCCATAGAGAAGTCAATTGAATATACAAATATAAAAAAAAGTAACGTTTTGAAATTTTTAAATGACAATATGAGGGCAAGAAAACATGTTTTATAAAGTGACAACATTTGAAGAAACATTGAAGGTTTATTAAAATTTTGACTCCCCTATGGTGATATTAAAAATATGTCGACTTTTTTTTTTTTTCGTCAAAGGATTTAAAGGCCATTTAAATTTGTTTTTGTTATTTCATTCCGTACGAAGAATTTGGATTTTGAAAAGAAAAAAAAAAATACCTCCTGGGGGAATCCTCAAGTGGATCTGAATCAAAAATTCGATATAGGGAACAGTTGTGCAGTTGATGGGCCCATCGATCAGAAGTCCTCAGTGGACGATGGGGCATCCATTAATAACCATTTATATGGTGACCCTATATTCTCCTGCTCCAAAGAGTCTTCTTCTTCTTTTCTTTTTTTCTTTCTTCCTCTCTATTTCTTTTTTTTAAATTCTTTTTCTTTTCATTTTACGACTCTCTTGGAGACTGTTCGTTGTATGCATTCAAGTTATGATGATGACGATAATGCTAATGATGATGGGAGCGAGATTTTTCGTATCTAACGTCAGCGCCTTAGAATCGAGATGATAGACTCTCTGGTACTGGGAATTTCCCTTGTACAAAGCAAAATACTTGCGACACTATTTTCAGGCCTTGGATTAATATAACTTTTTTAAAATTATTTTCTATAAAATCCGACTTTTTTGTCTTTATTATACATTTTTTTTTTTTTTTTACAAAATTTTTAAACAAATTTTTTTTTTTTAAACAATTTTTTTATTATACGATTACAGATTTTCTTCAGATCTTCTGTATTTCAATTATTTAACAAATTTTTAACTAAAATATTCGACTGTACACTCAGAAAAAAAGTAACCAAATTTTGGTTAAATCAACAAAATAAATTCATTGATATACAGTTAACCAAACATTTGGTTAACGTTTATTTAGCTGAATCAAATTTTTTCTTTGTTCAAAAAATTTATTAAAATAAACCAAACAGTTATTTAGATCAAATAAATATTTATTTGAATTAAACAAATTTTGTTTAAACTTACCAAAAAATTGGGTAAATATAAAAAAAAATGGTACATTTGGTTCAAACATATCTTTTTTCTGAGTGTAAATTATTTATTTTCAATAATTTTGCTGAAAGTTTTCATAAATTCAATAATCTTAAACTATTTTTTAACTAAAAATTTTATGAAATTATTTTTAAAAAATCAGCAAATAAAATTAGAAAAAAATGTCAATTCAAAATTACTTGAAATTTAATTGTTTTCAAAAATTTTTTATTTGAAACCTGAAATTTAATTCTTTTTCAAAATTTTCCATTTAAAACTTTCTGTTTATTATAATTTCAATTCTAACTCTTCCAAAATTTAATTATTTTTAATAAATTTTATAAATATTCATCAAAAATTAAATTATCTAAAAGCATTTTTCAATTAAAAAAATTTTATAGTTGAATTTTTGTCTCTATAATTTTAAATTTCTAATAAATTTCTCAGCACTTGAAATTACCAAAAATTTTAATAAAAAATCACTTGAAATTCAATTATTTTCCAAAATTTGAATGGTAAATTTTCAAAAATTCAATAAAAAAAAAGTTTGTGTAAAATTATTATGTGATAAATTATTTTTAATTCCGTAAAATTTAATTATTCACTGAAATTTAACAAAATCTTTTGAAATTCAATTATTTCTAACAAAAAATTTAATATTTCTTTAACAATTCAATTATTTAAAAAAGTTTCAAATAAAAACTAAAAAATTCAATGGTTAGCAAAAAATACTATAATACTAATTGTTTTCAAATTAAAAATTTTCTACAATTCAATCATTTAAAAAAAATCTTATAGCCAAGTGGAAATATTTTTTTTATATTATATTTTTATAATTAATCGAATAATGATTTTTCACGTTAAAATTAAAAAAAAATAATAATTTTTTTTAAACAAATTGTTATCAATAATTGGAAAAAAATCGAAAATTAGAAAAAAAATGACGCTATCCAATTCTAAGGGATAATTTATTTAAAAAAAGACATTCATAAATTTCTAAATTTTTTTTTATTTCAATTTGTTATTAAAAAAAAAAGTTATAAACAATAAGAGTCACTATATTCCTCTAAATAAATGCTTTAACAAATACATATATATACATGTTCGAAATCGACATGAAAAAAATGATCGTGAACAAAATAATGATTTTTGTCGTTTAAATATTAATATAAAAGAAAATAATTTGTTTAAACAAATTTTTATAAACAAATCGAAAAAAAATCGAAAATTAAAAAAAAAAATACATGGCGTTATTCGATTGTACAGAAAGAAATTTTTTACACAAATTACAGTCTTATTTTTTTGATTTTTATTGTCATAAAAATTCTAATTGTTTATAATTTTTTTAATAACAAATTGTGTAAAAAAAACTTGAATGTTATGTCCTTTACTAATTTTTCCCGTAGCATATTGAATAGCGTCATCTATGTTTTGTAATTTTCAATTTTTTTTTCCTATTGTTTATAATAATTTGTTTAAAAAAATTAATTTTTTTTTAATAACTTTTAACGCTAAAAGTAATTACTTTTGTTCACGGTCCTCTTTTACGTATTGTCTTTGATATTTTTGTTTAACAATGCGGATTTAAAATACACAATGACTCCTATTGTTTATAATTTTTTTTTTAATAACAAATTGGATGAAAAAAAATATATATATGTGTTTCTTTAGTAATTTTTCCCATTGAATTAAATGGCACTAATTATTTTCTGTGATTTTCGATTTTTTTTTTAATAATAATTTGTTTAAACAAATTAATTTTTTTAATAACTTTTAACGCTAAAAGTAATTATTTTTGTTGACGGTCCTCTTTTACGTATTGTCTTTGATATTTTTGTTTAAGAATGCGGATTTAAAATACACAATGACTCCTATTGTTTATAATTTTTTTTTTAATAACAAATTGGATGAAAAAAAAGTTTGAAATGTTATATATATATGTTTCTTTAGTAATTTTTCCATTGAATTGAATGGCACTAACTATTTTCTGTGATTTTCGATTTTTTTTTAATAATAATTTGTTTAAACAAATTAATTTTTTAAAATAATTTTTCAAAATTTTCAAAATAAAAAAAAATTCTTTTTTCGGAACGTAAATAGATTTTTTTTTTTTTGCTGCTTAAAGTCAATACGGGACCTGTATTTTTATTGTGAGGACCGATGAAGAATTACATTATTGTTTATAACAGAATAACAATTTTCAGACATTTAATATCGCCACAAATCGTATTTTATCAATTTGCGTTGGCGTTCCATTTCCTCTGGTCCACCAACAATATTGTGATGGGCGAAAATTCTTGCTAGAACAAATAAAAAAAAATTTCTCTAACCATTTTATTTTTTTAGAAAATTTATTTATTTTTTTTTTTTGTTATTTTCGATTAATATAAAAAGAAGGATAAATAAACTGTTTTTGTTATCGAATCTTTTTGTCGATCTCTCCTGGTATAACTATGGGTTGGAGGTATTTTTTTTTTTTTTTTTTAATGATCCCATCTATGAAAATAGTAGAGAGAAAGATGAAAGAATCTGTGGAGAGATACAGTTTCAGGGACGTTTTCTCTCTCTCTCTCTCTCTCTCTCTCTCTCTATATATATATATATATATATATATACGGGGGCAGCAGCCCACGTGGAAGACGTCTCGCTTGTCTGGCACGCCCAGCATTCCGAGGGTGCAGGATCGTCAGGATAGATTTTATCTCGCGTCGGCGGAGAATAAAAAAACAAAAGGAAGAGAGAGAGGATAGTGCATGAACGAGGAAGGCACGCCGGACGAATCAATTCGATCGAGCCACGTGTAGATGCGCGTCTGCAGGTCCTCAACTCACACCTGATCATCTTATCGATCTTAAAAGATTATATATAAAGTCAGAGAGAGAGAGAGAGACAGATTTCTATTTTCACACCTCGAGACTCGATCAGCAGCTACTATTTTATATAAACTGAAACTTGAATATACAAAAAAGAAATAAATAATCTCTCTCTGAATTGAATATAAATTTATTTCTATAGTCACGCAACTTTCTCTTATAATCTGCGTGGGGTTAAAATTTGTATTAAATAATAATTTGTCACCGACAGGAAATTATTTTCATGTAACTTGTCTTTTAAATATAAATTCTAATTGTTATAACCAAGTCTATATTTTAGTGGTGAATAATAATTTTTCTTATCCCACATGTTTTCCTGTTACAGTTCGTTGATCTGGGAGTGGTGACGAGTGTTGAGATCAATCACAAGCCTGTTGAATTTGCCAGAAAGGGACAAGAAGTTTGCATTAAAATTGAACCCGTACCTGGTGAGGCGCCAAAAATGTTTGGTCGACATTTCGATGAAAAAGACATGATCATCAGTAAGGTAAGTTATTTTTATTTATCCCCTATAAGAAAAAAAAACTAGGAAGTGAACGGTCCATTCATGACCAGACTTAAATATTTATTATTTGTGTTTTTCCTATTCTTAAAACATTCAATAGTGATTTACTTGATGAGAGAAAAAAAAGAGAGAAAAATTAGCTGATAATAGTTGCGATGTGCGAGAGACAAGCAAGTGAGGCTATTTATAAGATCAGAGATCATCTCTTTTGCGATCCGTCAATGGAATCGATCGAAGGCCGACATCTATGATGGAACAGCTGGGCTCGCGAGTATCGACCTTGTGTACTCTCACGCAGGCGCGTAATACAGAGAGTCCATGGACCATTCGCATCAACTTCGTCAATGAAATCCCGTGGCTCTTTCACTCTTCCAATGCGACAACGGTGTGTAGTGCACCTGCGTCTCGTGCACGCGTGTTCCGAAAAACGAACCGGTTTCAAATTCTACCACTATATATATATATACCTTCTCTTCTATATGTGTATACATTCGACACGAATTAGCTCGTTTCAGGATATACACTTTGTAAGACGAAACTCCAAATCGTTTCGAAGAAATTTCACTGGAAAACATTTTTTTTGTTGATAAACCCTATAAGAGAGAGGTCGCTTTTGCCCACGCAAAAACACCTGGAAGGGGGAGAGGGGGGTTGTTAACGACCCCATGAATTAATTATACAAGTTGTTTGTTTTTAGACGTATGGAAAAGCAGGTTCTTCGAATGGGACTTTTGAACTTTCTGTAGCAGCAGGTGGCAATCGCGAGGCGAGAATTAGATGCTTTATGGCGAAGGCAGATCTTCAGAGATATATATTTATATATATATATAAGCCAGAGTATTCTCTTTCAAAGAGATAATACGATTCATTATTATAGGAATCTTTTTTTTTCCCCCTAAAGTTCTTCGAAAGTTATTGAAACTACAACCTCCATGAAGTTAGCGTTAGCGTCGAAAATTATTTTTCACGGGACCAAAAATATCAAATTACACAGGCCAAGAAAATTTTGGCCTACTTCAGAAACAAGAACCAGACTTTTCCGAAGAATTTTTAAATCGGAATCTGACCTCAGAATTGATCCAGTACGTCAGGTTATCGAGATGTAACAAAAAAGTGAAGAAAAGACGTTTTTTTGGCCATATTTGAGTAACATTAAGATATAATTTTTTCCAAACGTTACAGCATCTGAAAGTACTATTTTTACCCCCAAAAAATGTATTTTATTTAAAAATTAGTCTTTATTTGCCTCTGAGTTATCGTTATTTGAATTTTTTGAGTCGTAAATATTTCAATATTCGTGTATCAGATAATGCTTCAGAAAATTCAAATGACGATAACTGAGAGGCAAATAAAGATTTTTTAAAAATGCATTTTACAGGGTAAGAATAGTACTTAGATGCTGTAACGACATTTTTGAGAAAAAAATTATATGTTACACGACCTCAAATATGGTCGAAAACGTCTTTTTTGCACTTTTAGGTTATATCTCGAAAACCTGAGTCAATTCTGAGAACAGATTCGGATTCAGCACGTCAAAATACTTCGAAAAAGTATAGTCTGATTTTTGGTTCTGCAACAGTACTGGCCCCAAAACAGTTGGTGCGCTGGTACTGGTTCGGTATTAGTATTAATAACACAGGCCGACAAAATTTTGGCCCACTTCAGAACTAAGAACCAGACTTTTCGGAAAACTTTTCAATCGAAATCTGACCTCAGAATTGATCCAGCACGTCAGATTTTTGAGATGTAACCTAAAAGTGCAGAAAAGACGTTTTTTTGGCCATATTTGAGTAACATTAAGATATAATTTTTTTCCAAACGTTACAGCATCTGAAAGTACTATTTTTACCCACAAAAAATGCATTTTATTTAAAAACTAGTTTTTTATTTGCCTCTGAATTATCGTTATTTGAATTTTTTGAGTCGTAAATGTTTCAATATTCGTGTATCAGATAATGCTTCAGAAAATTCAAATGACGATAACTGAGAGGCAAAAAAAGATTTTTAAAAATGCATTTTACAGGGTAAGAACAGTACTTAGATGCTGTAACGACTTTTTTGAGAAAAAAAAATATATGTTACACGACCTCAAATATGGTCGAAAACGTCTTTTTTGCACTTTTAGGTTATATCTCGAAAACCTGAGTCAATTCTGAGGTCAGATTCGGATGCATCACGTCAAAATGCTTCGGAAAAGTAAAATCTGCATTTTGGTTCTGCAACAGTACTGGCCCCAAAACAGTTGGTGCGCTGGTACTATATAGTTCGGTATTAGTATTAATAACGCAGGCCGACAAAATTTTGGCCCACTTCAGAACTAAGAACCAGACATTTCGAAAAAATTTTGAATCGAAATCTGACCTCAGAATTGATCCAGCACGTCAGATTTTCGAGATATAATCTGAAAACACAGAAAATATGTTTTTTGGCCGTATTTGAGTAATATTAACATATAATTTTTTTCAAGAAGGTCGTTATGTATCTAAAAGTACTTTTCTTACCCTTTAAAATTGATTTTTTAAAAATCTTTATTTGCCTCTGAGTTATCGTCATTTGAATTTTTTGAGTTGTAAATGTTTCAATATTCGTGTATATCTGATAATGCTGCAAAAAATTCAAATGACGATAACTGAGAGGCAAATAAAGATTTTTTAAAAATGCATTTTACAGGGTAAGAATAGTACTTAGATGCTGTAACGACTTTTTTGAGAAAAAAAATATATGTTACACGACCTCAAATATGGTCGAAAACGTCTTTTTTGCACTTTTAGGTTATATCTCGAAAACCTGAGTCAATTCTGAGGTCAGATTCGGATGCATCACGTTAAAATGCTTCGGAAAAGTAAAATCTGATTCTTATGCTTCTGAAGTAATCCAAAATTTTGTCGGCCTGTTATTTTTAAAAATGTTTTGTGTTGGTATACCTTAAAAAGTATTTCTAAAAGCATTATTTGGACCGAAAATCCAGAAACAATTTGCCATTTTTGGTCCTGTGAAAAATAATTTTCGCCGCTGCTCGTCGACTCCAATTTTATGGAAACCCAAAAAAAAACTAGAATTCCAATTCACGAATACGTAGAAAAAAAATTGATCATAAAAAATAAGATTTACATTTAAAGAATCTGAATTAGAATTTTGCAATTTCGTATATTTTTGAAGTCGTGTGTTAACAACAATTTATATACATTCAATATAGTATATTGACACTACTCATCCATCTTCGCCCGCGTGTACACAACATTTCCGTTGGCGATAATTGGAGTGAGTGCGGGGGTGGACGAACAAGACAAGGCATTTATAAAACGAATCTTAATATCAAGTTTTATATATATATGTTGCCGCTCTATTTTATCCATTTGATTTAGAAAGTTACAACTGTCAATAATATCACATAAAAGATCGATTGAGATTATTTTCCGTTATAGCGGAAAATTTATTTCATATTTACAAATATCATATAGTTTTATTTTTCTTTGCTGTATAAGATTGTTTTTTTTCCATTGCTGTAAGATTGTCTTTTTTTTGCTCTTTTTCTACTGATATATGCGTTTTAAATTGAAAAAGAAGAAAATTTTAATATGCATGCATCGAAAAGGTTTGCGCAAAAATAACGGCTATATACATCAGCAGCAGCATCGTATGGGACGTGACCGCATAATGCGATGCATTTCCCTTCCTGAACAACGACGCCCCGACACTCCTGTCACCTTTTTGCGATACAATCTCTAATGATATCCCCCCTCCTCTTTCTCTCTCTTTCTCTCTCTCTTTTATCCTATATAAAAACTTCTCTTTCTCCTTGTCTGCCCCCTGGCGCGGAAATTGTACATAACGGGCTATCGGTTTCCCCTCTATTACTTTCCACGAGGTATGAATATCAATAAGTAGCTTATCATTCCCTCACGTCAACATTTTTGCAAATACAATTTCCGAATTATATGCCTTATAATAATAATAATAATATTGCCAAACAGTAGATTGAATTAATTTTTAATTATTTTAAACTATATGGAGCCCGTTTTTACCGTGGGGATTAAATTTAATCCTCCGAGAAGTTAAAGGCAGTAGATTATGCATCTGCGCAGAATGTTTGTAGGTCTGCGCAGACGCAGAATCTACTGCCTTTAACCTCTTGGAGGATTAAATTTAACCCACACGGTGAAAATGGGCTTATACTCTGTAAATAAGGAAGGTAGATTTTAACTCCCAATGTGATTTTATAAAAGTCCCACTCTTTTGGAGTAGAAGCAAAGGGATTTTTAACTCTAAAAATTTTACTCCCAACTGCGGTTGTCATAATAACCTCCCCAAAACTCCTTTTCTTCAAAAAAGGTTTGGGACTTTTATAGAATCCCGTTGGGTGTTAAAAACTAAATCCCCTTTTTTTAAAATAATATTTTAAATAATAAAATAATTTTTCACTATGCCAGCAGTTAAAAATATCGCGTCATCAAATGCTGTAAATTTTTAAATGTACAATATACGATGAGGACGTTTCATTTAATAAAATTATTAAATTCTATATCTCGTCATGATAAGAATAACTATTTTATATCAGTTAAAGAGAGAAAGATAATGAAAAGTGATGTATAAAAATGAAATAATGAAATAATATAGTAATGTTTTCAAAATGAGTTTAATCAGTTTAATTTGATCAAGCACCCGCGACGAATAATCAACCGGAAATATCATATATTTTCAGGAATCGATACGTCATGTCATGCGCTGCTAGTATTGTTATATATATACCGCACACCGTTGTTTCAGAGAGGAAGTAAAATAAATGTCATATATATCATGTGACAAAAAGCGACTATACCAATTATGTAGTATAATTGAAATTTTAATATAAATTTTTTTTTTTCTTCCTTTTTTGTAAATGCTGATAATATGAGGTATAATTAGCTGACCTTCCATTTGTATATATAAGTCGATCTTTGCGTGGTTAACGAGGTGTGTCAGGCTGTCGCGTGGCCTTTCCA